CGGGGAGTCGAACCAAGGATGAGAGAGGAAGGAAGAGACGACGAGACTGACACATTGTACCATACCGTGGGAGGTGGAGGACCTTGAGGGGGATGTAATACTCTAAGTTATTAAGCAGTGTTTACATGTTGGGTGGGACTAACCCGGAGTGTGTGTGTTGCAGGTGATGGCGTCGGCAGGAGGAGGAGGAGGCCTGGCCGCCAGTCAGCTGGGGTCGGCCGGCATGAGTGTCAGCATGTCAGAGCTCAACCCGCACTTCGTCTGTGTCCTCTGCTTCGGCTACTTCGTCGACGCCACCACCATCACCGAGTGCATGCACACCTGTGAGTACCCCTCTCTCCCCCTCCCGTCACTGCCCCTACACACCTGTGAGTACCCCTCTCTCCCCCTCCCGTCACTGCCCCTACACACCTGTGAGTACCCCTCTCTCCCCCTCTCCCGTCACTGCCCTGACACACCTGTGAGTACCCCCTCTCTCCCCCTCTCGTCACTGCCTTGACACACCTGTGAGTACCCCTCTCTCCCCCTCTCGTCACTGCCCCAACACACCTGTGAGTACCCCTCTCTCCCCCTCTCGTCACTGCCCCTACACACCTGTGAGTACCCCTCTCTCCCTCTCGTCACTGCCCCTACACACCTGTGAGTACCCCTCTCTTCCCCTCCTGTCACTGCCACTACACACCTGTGAGTACCCCTCTCTTCCCCTCCTGTCACTGCTACTACACACCTGTGAGTACCCCTCTCTCCCCCTCTCCCGTCACTGCCACTACACACCTGTGAGTACCCCTCTCTTCCCCTTCTGTCACTGCCACTACACACCTGTGAGCACCCCTCCCTTCCCCTCCTGTCACTGCCACTACACACCTGTGAGTACCTCTCTCTCCCTCTCCCGTCACTGCCCCTACACACCTGTGAGTACCCCCTCTTCCCCTCTCCCGTCACTGCCACTACACACCTGTGAGTACCCCTCTCTTCCCCTCTCCCGTCACTGCCACTACACACCTGTGAGTACCCCTCTCTTCCCCTCCTGTCACTGCCACTACACACCTGTGAGTACCTCTCTCTCCCTCTCCCGTCACTGCCCCTACACACCTGTGAGTACCCCTCTCTTCCCCGCTCCCGTCACTGCCCCTACACACCTGTGAGTGCCCCTCTCTCCCCCTCCCGTCACTGCCACTACACACCTGTGAGTGCCCCTCTCTCCCCCTCCCGTCACTGCCCCTACACACCTGTGAGTACCCCTCTCTCCCCCTCCCGTCACTGCCCCTACACACCTGTGAGTACCCCTCTCTTCACCCCTCCCCCTCTCGTCACTGCCCCTACACACCTGTGAGTACCCCTCTCTCCACCCCCCCCCTCCCGTCACTGCCCCTACACACCTGTGAGTACCCCTCTCTCCCCCTCCCGTCACTGCCCTGACACACCTGTGAGTACCCCTCTCTCCACCCCTCCCCCTCTCGTCACTGCCCCTACACACCTGTGAGTACCCCTCTCTCCACCCTCCCCCTCTCGTCACTGCCCTTACACACCTGTGAGTACCCCTCTCGTCACTGCCCTTACACACCTGTGAGTACCCCTCTCTCCACCCCTCCCCATCTCGTCACTGCCCCTACATACCTGTGAGTACCCCTCTCTCCCCCTCACGTCACTGCCCCAACACACCTGTGAGTACCTCTCTCTCCCCCTCCCGTCACTGCCCCTACACACCTGTGAGTACGCCTCTCTCCCACTCCCGTCACTGCCCCTACACACCTGTGAGTACCCCTCTCTCCACCCCTCCCCCTCTCGTCACTGCCCCTACACACCTGTGAGTACCCCGCTCTCAACCCCTCCCCCTCTCGTCACTGCCCCTACACATCTGTGAATACCCCTCTCTCCAACTCCCGTCACTGCCCCTACACACCTGTGAGTACCCCTCTCTCCCCCTCCCGTCACTGCCCCTACACACCTGTGAGTACCCCTCTCTCCACCCCTCCCCCTCTCGTCACTGCCCCTACACACCTGTGAGTACCCCTCTCTCCCACTCCCGTCACTGCCCCTACACACCTGTGAGTACCCCTCTCTCCACCCCTCCCCCTCTCGTCACTGCCCCTACACACCTGTGAGTACCCCGCTCTCAACCCCTCCCCTCTCGTCACTGCCCCTACACACCTGTGAGTACCCCTCTCTCCCACTCCCGTCACTGCCCCTACACACCTGTAAGTACCCCTTTCTTCCCCTCCCGTCACTGCCCCTACACACCTGTGAGTACCCCTCTCTCTCCCTTCCGTCACTGCCCCTACACACCTGTGAGTACCCCTCTCTCCCACTCCCGTCACTGCCCCTACACACCTGTGAGTACCTCTCTCTCCCCCTCACGTCACTGCCCCTACACACCTGTGAGTACCTCTCTCTCCCCCTCCCGTCACTGCCCCTACACACCTGTGAGTACCCCTCTCTCCACCCCTCCCCCTCTCGTCACTGCCCCTACACACCTGTGAGTACCCCGCTCTCAACCCCTCCCCCTCTCGTCACTGCCCCTACACACCTGTGAGTACCCCTCTCTCCACCCCTCCCCATCTCGTCATTGCCCCTACATACCTGTGAGTACCCCTCTCTCCCCCTCCCCCTCTCGTCACTGCCCCTACACACCTGTGAGTACCCCTCACTCCCCCTCCCGTCACTGCCCCTACACACCTGTGAGTACCCCTCTCTCCCACTCCCGTCACTACCCCTACACACCTTTGAGTACCCCTCTCTCCACCCCTCCCCCTCTCGTCACTGCCCCTACACACCTGTGAGTACCCCTCTCTCTCCCTTCCGTCACTGCCCCTACACACCTGTGAGTACCCCTCTCTCCCACTCCCGTCACTGCCCCTACACACCTGTGAGTACCCCTCTCTCCCCCTCCCGTCACTGCCCCTACACACCTGTGAGTACCCCTCTCTCCCCCTCCCGTCACTGCCCCTACACACCTGTGAGTGCCCCTCTCTCCCACTCCCGTCACTGCCCTGACACACCTGTGAGTACCCCTCTCTCCACCCCTCCCCCTCTCGTCACTGCCCCTACACACCTGTGAGTACCCCTCTCTCCACCCCTCCCCATCTCGTCACTGCCCCTACATACCTGTGAGTACCCCTCTCTCCCCCTCACGTCACTGCCCCTACACACCTGTGAGTACCTCTCTCTCCCCCTCCCGTCACTGCCCCTACACACCTGTGAGTACCCCTCTCTCCCGCTCCCGTCACTGCCCTGACACATCTGTGAGTACCCCTCTCTCTCCCTTCCGTCACTGCTCCTACACACCTGTGAGTACCCCTCTCTCCCCCTCCCGTCACTGCCCCTACACACCTGTGAGTACCCCTCTCTCCCCCTCCCGTCACTGCCCCTACACACCTGTGAGTACCCCCCCCCCCTCTCATAGCTCAGGGACCAGTCTGGTGGAATACCTTCCCCAACTTCGTCTTCTGGTTGAATAAGTATCGATTTTACTCAGGAACTTCATTCTCCAGGATTGGTCTGACGTATGTGGTATACAAGTTTCTGAATTATTTATAATACAAATTTCTAAAGATATGCTTCACACACACACCAGAATGCTTCACACACACACCGGAATGCTTCACACACACACCGGAATGCTTCACACACACACCAGAATGCTTCACACACACACCAGAATGCTTCACACACACACCAGAATGCTTCACACACACACACCAGAATGCTTCACACACACACCAGAATGCTTCACACACACACCAGAATGCTTCACACACACACCAGAATGCTTCACACACACACACCAGAATGCTTCACACACACACACAGAATGCTTCACACACACACACCAGAATGCTTCACACACACACCAGAATGCTTCACACACACACCAGAATGCTTCACACACACACCAGAATGCAGAATGCTTCACACACACTTCACCAGAATGCTTCACACACACACCAGAATGCTTCACACACACACAGAATGCTTCACACACACACCCAGAATGCTTCACACACACACTTCACACACACACCAGAATGCTTCACACACACACCAGAATGCTTCACACACACACAGAATGCTTCACACACACACCAGAATGCTTCACACACACCAGAATGCTTCACACACACCAGAATGCTTCACACACACACCAGAATGCTTCACACACACACCAGAATGCTTCACACACACCAGAATGCTTCACACACACACCAGAATGCTTCACACACACACCAGAATGCTTCACACACACACCAGAATGCTTCACACACACACCAGAATGCTTCACACACACACCAGAATGCTTCACACACACACCAGAATGCTTCACACACACACCAGAATGCTTCACACACACACCAGAATGCTTCACACACACACCAGAATGCTTCACACACACACCAGAATGCTTCAGAATGCTTCACACACACACCAGAATGCTTCACACACACACCAGAATGCTTCACACACACACCAGAATGCTTCACACACACACCAGAATGCTTCACACACACCCAGAATGCTTCACACACACCAGAATGCTTCACACACACACCAGAATGCTTCACACACACAGCAGAATGCTTCACACACACACCAGAATGCTTCACACACACACCAGAATGCTTCACACACACCAGAATGCTTCACACACACACACAAGAATGGTTCACACACACACCAGAATGCTTCACACACACACCAGAATGCTTCACACACACACCAGAATGCTTCACACACACACCAGAATGCTTCACACACACACCAGAATGCTTCACACACACACCAGAATGCTTCACACACACACCAGAATGCTTCACACACACACCAGAATGCTTCACACACACACCAGAATGCTTCACACACACACAGAATGCTTCACACACACACAGAATGCTTCACACACACACCAGAATGCTTCACACACACACCAGAATGCTTCACACACACACCAGAATGCTTCACACACACACCAGAATGCTTCACACACACACAGAATGCTTCACACACACACCAGAATGCTTCACACACACACCAGAATGCTTCACACACACAGAATGCTTCAGAATGCTTCACACACACACCAGAATGCTTCAATGCTTCACACACACACAGAATGCTTCAGAATGCTTCACACACACACCAGAATGCTTCACACACACACCAGAATGCTTCACACACACACCAGAATGCTTCACACACACACCAGAATGCTTCACACACACACCAGAATGCTTCACACACACACCAGAATGCTTCACACACACACAGAATGCACACACACACCCAGAATGAATGCTTCACACACACACACCAGAATGCTTCACACACA